GAACGGAATAAGAGTGGATTCACCACATCCTCAAAGTTAACACCAGGTGACTGTATGTTTATACATATACCATCCGTTAGCCTCAATCGTGGCCCGTTCACTCTATTCGGATAGGATACATATATTTATTTATTAAATGCGAGGTGGCAGACTTTGGGGTCCTGCAGCCACAACACCCCGCTGCACGGTGGAAACCAAAAGGGGCGGGTGGGAAGGTAAAATAAAAATAAAAGATTATCCGGCCGCTGTCGGCTCCCTGATGCCCTTAAAGTGGTGAGATAGAAAACTGTCGTAAAGAAGTGTATATTTGTTTTAGCAGGATATATACATTACCTAATTTAGCTTGCCCACAATTATTTTATTAACAAGCTCCTAATAACATGTAAAAAAAACACAGACTCACATACATCGTTCATTGGCGGCCCAGCACACACACGCACATCCTCATCACGTGCCCCCAGCAGAAGCACACACGCACGCGGGTCGAGTGCGGGGAGTGGCACGCTCCACGGGGGCACGGGGCGGTCAATGACACATTCCACGTCGTTCGGCCACGGAGCACACAGGGCACGAACCGGGGTGCAGCAACCAATTAAGCAATAAATTAGGATTCAACACGCACAGGAAACAAATCTTTTCGTCCATTTGTCAATCGCACGACGGGTATATCACGTCTTCTGAGGCACGTTCCACACGGGCGACAGGCGATGTGTCGTTGCCGAAGCGCGCCATCAGCGCAGCGTAGTCGTCCTCCTGCACGTGATGGACACACATCGAGGTCGGCACCACCTGCGAGTGCCCCGTTTCATTGCGAGCGTCATGGAAATGACAACCCAGCACCTTGACGTATAACATTGGCTTGTACTTCACTTCCTTCTCAAGTACCCAACCAACCATGTTGTCCTCGTAGTGAAACCGGAGCAGTGCAAACTCGTGGTCACGTTCCTTGCTGTACGGCAGGTATGCCAGGCGCCGCAGCGGTTCGTACGACACCAACGCCTCCGCCACATCCCTCGACAAGGTGTAGCACCAGCCAACCATAAATGTGCTGCCCGGTAAGCCCTTATCCTCAAAACTGGATGTACCGATGTGGACGCCCATGTAGATCCCTCGGCGCGGCAGGAGGCGCAGGTGAGCAACAAACAGCGGCACACGGAGGAACATGTCGTCATCGCCCTTCGCAATGTAACTCGCGTTCGGGAACAGGCGGTGAGCAAGGTCAAACCACATGTAAACCTTTCGGGTCAAAGCCACATCCGCCTCATCGCCCAGACATCCGTAGTGACCAATTTTTTTGTTTGTCGTCACGCGGCCCTCGTTCATTGGCAGCGCAACCACATCGTTCCACTGCGACGCCTCCTCCAGCAGCGCGGCAGAGTAGTCGTAGCCGTGCGACGGGTGCCGCCCAAGGACGTACAGCACAAGCATCGCACCGGTGAAGTCGTTCGCCCTCGTCGCCACTCCGGGAAACCGCCAGCACGTCGACCGCTGCAGGTTGCGTCGTGTTCGCCTCTCCTCGTCGTCCGTGGAGGGGATGCCCAGCAAAATCAGATACTCCCGCCGGCTCCACGTGTCCACAACACGGCGTGGGATGTAAGCAAGCGCTGCGTCGTCCACTGTGGCGGCTCGCGGGTGGCGGAGGTTGTTGGGTGCCGGTGCGGCATCATCGTCAGCGGGGACAAAGCTGAGGGACAGAAAATTCGTGACCGCAATGAAGAGAATCAGCAGCACGGCAACCCGCCTCAGCTTCCGCTTCATCGTCGGCAGTTTTGTTTTCGCCATTGTCGCTTTCGGTGTGAAAATCTAGGCAAAAGAGAAAAGGGCGGAGAGAGTGTGAGGGCAGCATGCAGCAGACACAAACAGCACGGGCAACAACAGGAAACAACACAGCCACGCGGTGCCACGCAGCCACGCGAGTACGCGAATGCCCGTCAGCCAACCCACTGCGCCCCACCCGAATCCGGGACGGTGCGGGTGAAGGGGTCAGGGCGGCGGAGAAGCCGACAGCACGCCGCCGCGGTGGCTCGACGATCCGCAGCCAACGCTTTTTTGCTATTCCTTGTGTCTTCTCAAATACGTCCCATGGTCTGCACTCCAGCCACCGTCGCAGTGAACGTCCGCCCTGCTGAGTGAAAACGTGAAGGAAAGCCGCGGTCCCCGGATGGCGCTGCAGCAGGCGGCGTGAAACACAACCCCGCGACGCATCCGCCCGGCCTAGCGCACTCGCTCGATAATCAGTACACTGGCAGATATTTTCGCAACACCATCTAACAACAAGGAAAAGAGGAGAGGAACTACCTGCCACAAGCATCGGCGTCCTGCCGCAGCCGCGACGGGCCTGGCGCCTTTCTGCATCCAGGGGGAACCGCGCCGACTCCCTGGTGAAGCACGGATTACTCACTTCCCCAGTGTCCACTCCACGTTTCTGTCCGGGCGCCTGCCGAGCCGGGCAGCGGAGTAGGTGCGGACTTCTCCCCTCGCACAGTTCACATCGGCCGGTTTGCACGACGTCCGGTCGACGCCCGTGGCATGCCGTGCGGTGGCGCGTCAGTCCGTCATTGCCGCAGCGCCAAAAGCCGCATGCTGGACGGCAAAATCCGAGCGGTGGTGATCCCATCGTGGCGCCGTCGCCGGGCAAGGTGCACTTTCTCGGCGGCCCGACACTCTGCCGTCGTGGAATCGGCAACAGTGCGACGTTGATGAATGGATGTGTGTGCTGCTTTGGGCGCACGGTGCGCCGTCCCCCGCCGGCATTCGCCTCCTGCGCGGAGGAGGGGGTCTCCCTCGAAGGCAAAGTTGCTGTGCGGGTTTGGCCTTCTTCCCGCTGTGTTTCGAGCCTGGCGGCGTGCGTGCGTTGTGACTCTATTTTTTGGCGTCGTGACACTCTCGCCGTCGCAGAGATTTTGCCGGACGTGGCAGGCCGGGCCCATGCATTGCGTGGCGGGGGTGCGATCAGCGTGCCGTCCCTCGCCCTCGTCCTCGCCCAAGTGGCGGGTGGTGGTTCCGGTGGAATTCCCGGCGGCTCCGGTTCACCAGGAGGAATTGACTTTCCACAGCGCCTGGGAGCGCGTAATGCCACGGACGTTGGCCACGTGCGTCACGACGCTGGCGCGGCAACCGCAGTGCTTGCCGCACACCGGGCAGTCTGCCGGGCGTCGGATCGTGGCGGGGTAAGGTCAGCGGGAGGAGGAGGCGTTTCCGTGCGAGGTTCATTGCGTGCCTGCTGTGCGGCATCCGAGTTGCACCAACAGCATGTGCTCGGGATGGCG